CTGATGTCGTTATGAAATTACTAACAGAGACGTCCAACACGGAACATTCTCCCCCCGTTGAGAGAGCAGCGATCAATAAAACATGACAGTTGAGTACTTACTTCTTGTTGAAAGTTTGCTCGTACTCACGTATAATCCTTTATAAGTACCAGTGATGTTAGATGTCTTGATTGGGCAGTGGTGCTAAACGCCTCACATTTCGATCGAATGTTGATGTGGCTGTCTTCACAGTAACGGTTCGGATGATTCCGTCTGAACCAGGATGCACCTTGACGATTCTTCCGAGTGGCCAATGTAACGGAGGTACGTTGTCGTTCTTCAGAAGGACTATAGTTCCTTCTTTGATGCTGTGGGAACCTTTTGACCATTTGCTTCGATTAGTTAGTTCGTTCAAGTATTCCCTATGCCATCTTGTCCAAAAATGCTGTTTTAATTTTTGCACATGTTGCCAACTAGTTAAACGATTGGCCGGGGTTTCTTGGAAATCTCTTTCGCGCAAGCTCGTCAACGAATCGCCAATTAAAAAATGACCTGGTGTCAATGCTAATAAATCGTTAGCATCTGATGAAATGGGAGTAATCGGGCGTGAATTTAGAATAGCTTCTATCTCGATAATCAATGTGTTTAGGTTTTCGAAGGTGAATAATGTGAGCCCTGCGACGCGTCTTAAATGATATTTGAATGATTTTACAGCTGCCTCCCAAAGACCTCCGAAATGAGGACTTAATGGTGGAATGAATTTCCAATCGATCGACCGTTCCGCAAGGAAGGTAGTTATTTTATTGTTGTGATCTTCAGATCGAAGAAGCTGTTTGATTTCTGATAATTCATTGTTTGCACCAATGAAATTAGAACCGTTGTCCGAATACAAAGTGGCACAGAAACCTCGTCTTGCAATAAAACGCCGAAGAGCCGCAATGAAAGCTTCAGTGGTGAGATCGCTGACCAATTCAAGATGAATTGCTTTCACTGCTAAGCATACAAAAACTGCGACGTAAACTTTGATCTTACTACGATTCCGATGTCTCCGTTCTTTGATATAGAATGGACCACAATAGTCAACACCAACGTTCGCAAATGGTCGGGATTCAGTAATTCTTCTAGCAGGTAAATTTCCCATAATATAGTCGGTTGATGGAGGCTGTGATCGACAGCACTTGACACAAGTTTTAACTGTCCTCCATACTTGACTCCGACCATCTACAGGCCAGTAACGACGTCTCAAGGCATAAAGTGTTGCCTGCGTACCTGCGTGTAATTGGGTTTTATGTTCGTTTTCAATAATTAATTTAGTTATGCGTGACTTCGGAAGTATAATGGGATGCTTTTGACTAAAGGGCATCAATGAGTGTTGTAATCTGCCCCCTACCCGTAATATTCCAACATCGTCTAAAAAAGGATTTAATTGTTGAGTTTTGCCTGTCAATTTTTGACGTTGTCCGCTTCTGATACAACGTATTTCGTCTGAAAAATACTGTTCCTGTAACAACTTTATGATGACGTCATGTGCCTGCTTGAGTTCGGAGACATTAAGAGGTCCTCGATTAATATTGTTTTGTTTCCAACGCAAACAAAAGGCAACAACCCTTATTGTCTTTGTCCAAGATGAAAATCGATTTAAAATTGAGGTATCAGTCTGTGTGGTTGTCAAACATATAGTAGCCCTTTGTTCGGGAATTGTGTTATTAGAGATTAATTCCCAAGATGGCCAGAACGTTTCATTTTTATTAAGCCACATTGGACCGGAACGCCAAACAGAGTTATGTAAAAATTCTTCTGAAGTCAGACCTCTAGACAGTAGGTCTGCTGGATTATCTGTTGATGAAACGTGCCGCCAATCTGAAATACTGGTTTCGGTCTGAATCTCGGCCACTCTATTTGCAACAAAAGTTTTTAGAAGATGAGGAGATGTCCGCAACCAATGCAATACAATCATTGAATCTGTCCATAAAATTGTATGCTGAATCTTCACACGCAAAGCTTTTTGAACTGTGGAGAGCAATCTTGTCAAGAGAACAGCTGCGCAGAGCTCGAGACGAGGAATCGTTTGGCTTTTCAAAGGAGCGACTTTTGATTTTGCCACTAATAAACTTGTCTCAATGTGACCGTGTGTATCTGTAGAGCGAAGGTAGATACACGCGCCATAAGCGCGTTCGCTTGCATCACAAAATCCGAGCAAGTCAATTGTTGTGGAGTTGTTAATAATTGTCTTACGTGGAAATATGGCGTTGTTTAATAAAGGCAACTGGGTATAAAACTGCGTCCATTCCGTGAATATGTGTATTGGCAGAGATTCGTCCCAATCAACTTTTAAAGACCAAATTTTTTGAAGCAGAATCTTCGCTACGACAATGACTGGCCCTAACAACCCCAATGGATCGTAAATCTTTGCTATTTCCGAACTGATAGTACGTTTAGTTACACGAGATGTATAATTAGAAGTTTTTACGGAATATACAATTGAATCATTTTCAGAATTCCAAACGACCCCGAGTGTTTTAATCGTAGAGGATTCTCCGAGATATAATTTTTTGTTAATATCCTGTGCCGATAAATCCTGTAAGAGAGATCTTTCATTTGAAGCCCACTGACGAATGTTCAAACCAGCTGTTGATAATAGTTGAGTAATGTGGTTACGTAATTGGAATGCTTCATTTAGTGTTTCAGTACCAGTGAGTAGATCGTCGACATAAAAATCTCTTGTTAGGACTTCTGAAGCAACTGGAAAACGTGATTTTTCATCTTTAGCTAGTTGAGATAAGCACCGGATTGCAAGATAAGGTGCTGCAGATAGTCCGAATGTAACAGTGTTCAATTCGAAAGTTTTAATTTGATCAGTTCTATCTCGCCATAGAATTCGTTGGTATTTCCTGTCTTCTGGGCGTACGAGAAATTGTCGATACATCTTCTCAATATCTCCTGTTAAAACGAACCGGTAACATCGAAACCTGAGCAGAATATATAATAAATCGTCTTGGATTTTAGGGCCTATATGCAAAGTTTCATTGAGAGAGATGCCTGATGTGGTTGGTGCAGAGCCATCAAATACTACTCGTAATTTAGTAGTGTCGCTAGTATTTTTTATCACTCCGTGATGAGGTAAGTAATAACCTTCATTCGTTTCCTGCTCGTTTGGTACCGGAGACATATGTCCTAATGTCAGATATTCCTGAATAACAGCGCTATAATTGTCATGTAAATCTTTGTCATTGCATAATTTCCGTTCCAACGAAATGAATCTCTTGAAAGCTCGCGACTTAGATTCTCCTAACTGTAACACATTGTCCTTAAATGGAAGTGCTACGATGTATCGACCTTCTACATTACGAACTGTATGGGTGCGAAAATGTTCTTCACATGCTTTTTCAGCTTCAGACAAATGTTTTAGCTGCGGGCCTTCTTCTATTTCCCAGAAACGATTGAGATCAATCTGTAAGTTAGAACTTGCGTGACATGAAGATCTTTGTACGTGTTGAAAAGTCGGTGCACTCCCCCCGATGACCCATCCGAATCTCGTCTTCTGAAGATACAAATCTGGGCTTCCAATTGCTGATAAATTGATTTGACCGACGCTTAGTAACGATAATGATGCTCCAGCGCCCAATAATAAATCGACTGGAGCTGGACGGTGAAAATTTGGATCCGCTAATTTTAAATTTTTTGGAATATTTATTGATGCACGATCAATAGGCTGATCGGGAATTAATGACGAAATTTCAGGAATAATCAGAAAGGTCAAGGTACGTTTGTATTCACTAGTCCTAGATTGAATTGTTGCAACTATTGAATATTTTGAAATTGTAGACATTGAGTTAAGAACGCTGATAGGAATGGAACATTTGTTCTGAACGATACCTAATCTTCTCGCGAGATTTTCCGAAATGAAATTTGTTGATGCACAAGTATCGATCAATGTCCGAGTCAAAATTGGCTGGTTATTTCGGTCAAAAATATGTATTTGGGCAGTCACTAGAAGTTCATTAGTAACTGTGTTCACTATGAAAACGTTTTGACTCCTTGCGTCATTGAATAATTTAAAATGGCCTAGTCATGATGATGAAGGTTCTGATATTGCTTCTCTTGATGTTCCGGATTCTGAGACAGACGTAGATGTTGACGGTATTGCGATAATGGAGTTCTGCAATTCTCTAAATTGGTGTAATAATGTATGATGGGGACGATTACAAAAACGACAAAATAAACTTTTACAATTGTCGACTGAATGGCCTTTCCTAAAACAATTTGGACACACTGAAGTCTTTCTCACAATATCCCACCTCTCTCGAACAGACAAGTTTTTAAAATCCTTGCAACCCCAGAGCTGGTGGTCGCTGTTACAAAGATAACATAACGCAGGATATCTTACCAAACCACTTTCCTTTTCCTGTTTTTTATATGGATCATTGCGTTGACCCTTTGAAGTTAGGAACGCATGACTCTTTAAAGGCCGTTGCCTTAAATTATGAGGAACCTCTGCGAAATGTTTGCCTGCATGATTCGCCGTTGGAAGGGTTTTTGAAGAATTTATTGGTACACAATTTGCACGTTTTTCTAAAAATGCTAGCAAATCAACAAAAGACGGTATCTTCTTTTTATCTTTTAAAGTTAACTCCCAATGCCATATTGTTTCTGAGTTAAGTTTTGATAAAATGATAGAGACTACGATACTATTCCATTCCGAAACTTTTTCGCCCAAATTCTCCAGAGCTCTAAGATGCTGGTTCACCGAATCAACTAGATCACCAAGTGCTCCGGCGGTGTCCTTTGCAAGCTTGGGAATTTCTCTTAACGCGTCGCAATGTCCTAACACTATTCGACGGGTACATTCAAATTTTTCTTTTAAAATCTCTATTGCGCTCGTATAGTTTGCATCGGTAGTACTGAGCGCTTGGATACATGCTGCAGCCTTCCCAGTGAGAGTTGACCGTAAGTATTGCAATTTCTGGACTGGTGTCAAGTCCTCATTGCGGTCAATCATTGAAGAAAATAAGTCAAAAAACGAAGCCCATTTTTCAATTGTACCGTCAAATACAGGTAACCGCATTTCAGGTAGTTTTATGGTCATAGGGGCAGGTACAGTTGTTGCGGGTGAAACATTCACGGCACGGATTGATGGATCAACTGATTGTTGACCTTGAAGAAGGCGGTTTGCACGAGCTATGACTGAATAATAATTGTTCTGAATCTCAAACCTACGTGGTTCTTCAGAATCATCTAATTCCTCTATGTTGAATTGAATGTCATCGAAACGTTTCCAGACTTCGGTTAAACCGTTTACATGAGTTTGTAAAAGAAATGTGTCTCTATGATCTGAATTTTCATATGTATCGAGAAAGTTCACAAGGGAGGAAATTTGTCCAATGATATTACCTCTCTTGCGTCGCAGGGTACTAATATTAAGTCCGCGGAGTGACGAATGAGCCTGATTAGATCCCGATGGATTTGACATAATGATTGGTTGCAGCAAAGACGAGGAAGTTGGCGATTCGAATGACAGAGCTTACCTTTATGTGGATGTGTTAACCAATACGAGTTAAACTGTCACACTGTCTAAGTTTCTTGAATCCCAGGAATGTCTGTTGCGTCGTCACTCGTAGAGATTTAATTACACGAAATAGTCCAGTTCATGCCCAAAGATGATTATTTGCCAATGTTCATTACTTAACAGACACTTATGGCACTTGATTAACTTATTCCAACACTAAACACTGAGTCCGTACACTAAAAAGTTCAAATCCGGCTCGAAGGACCAAAATGTTTGCGATGAGGGAAGGAATTGACCCCGTGTGTTGTCCAAATGG